GTAATATAGGTTAAGTGCTGGGTTCATTACAGGCACTCAATAGATATAAGCTTGTTATATTTATTACATTAGATTTATATAAGATATACATTATATATAATATTACTTATATCATGGTATATTCTATTATAATATATTATCATTGTTGGAAGCCTCTATTGGTGAGGCCATAACAAGAATAGATAGACTAGATGTTAAAATGGCTAAAGGTCATCCCAGCTCTCAGCAAGCTTCTTATACGGTTGAAAATAGAAAGCACATGAAGCAATTAGGAGCAGCTGACTATATTTATGTGGGGTTGCTTCTTGGCTCTCTCATCTGTGCCATTGATCTATTTATTTGTCTGTTCTTTTGTCAGTACCACACTGTCTTGATTGCTATAGCTTTATAGTAAGTCTTGAAGTCAGTCCTCCAGCTTTGTTCTTCTCCTTCACTAGTGTGTTGACTATCCTGGGTCCTTTGCTTCTCCATAGAAACTTTAGAATCAGTGTGTCAGGGTCCACAAAAGGACTTGCTAGGCATCCCTGGTTTTAAGGGTCCCCTTTTCTGGGAGTTTGTCTCAGTAGCCAGCATCTTAAGCCTTCAATCTGCTGAGTTTGGGTCCTTCTTTTCTGGGCTTAGAGAAAAGATTTGGATTTTTAGAGTCCCTTGTGTTTGTACATTGTGTGCTTGGGCCCAAGCCATAGAATGTAACCAAGGGCATAAAATGGCTGTCCCTACAGCATGAAGAACACCCTGGGGCTGGCTTCATAGTGCTTAGCCTTTGCCAGAACACTAACAGCCATTTGTCCTCCTTATCATCGTAACAGAAGCTTGTATTTATTGAGCACTAAGTGCAAAACCCTGAGCTCAGCACTTTACCTGTCACATCACCCATCCTTCTGAGGCAAGTGCATATATTACTTTCTATTGAGGGGGGGAAAAAAAAAAAAAAAACAAAAAACCAGAACAAAACAGAGGCACCGAGTGGTTAAGTAACTTGCCCAAGACCACACAGGGAGTAGGCGGTGAAGCTGGGATTCAAGCCCGCTCTTAATCCCTGCCCTGCACTCATTCTCCCCGACATTTCCTTTTACCCTGGGCAGCAGCACTGGCCATTCTGGGCTTGACTGTCAAGCTTCCTGGACGATAGCCCAGGCCAGTGCATCATCCTCTGTTAAATTAAAAGTACCACAGACAACTAATCCTCCTGATAAATTCCCTAAACTCCAGTTCCTTGAAACCCTTTTTTCTAAAACCCACATATTTGAGAAATGAAACCTTAAGCATCCTCTTCTCCCCCATCCCTCCCCACCCTTGTATCTGCTTCCCCATGACATCTGGTTGGTTACAAATCTCTCTTGCTGTTTATTTACCTCTTAATAAGCCCTATCTCCTCTCGGAAAGCCATTTAACATGACGCCACTTAATTTCTCCTGGAGGCAGAATCTGCCAGATGGAGTCTTTGTCCCAAGCCACATTGTTGATTTGTCTCATTTTTAAACATCAGTGAACATTCCATGAAATTAAAATAGCAATCAGTTCCCAGGTGTGGACTCACTGAGTGGAGGGGGTGGGGGGTGGACCTGTCCACCTGGGTCAGCTGTTCCAAATGGGCTGGATTAACCAGGGGATGACTTTCTCAGGTGGCTGCCAGCCTGCAGCTGGCCGCATCTGGCTGTCACTCAATGCAGGAGCACGCTTTTCCGCCTCAGCTGGACTCAGCCAGTCATCACCTCCTCTGGCTGGAGCCCCACGGGCTGTGCATCCTTGCCTTTTCCATGTTCATGCTCCTGACAGTTGAAGAGACAGAATGGACCCAGAGGCTCAGGAGAACAACACAGAGTGGCCCAGTGCAAGAAGGCAGTGTCCTTGATGTCTCCCTTTTTTATCCCTAAAAATCCTCTGATTTCATAACATAATATATTTGAGTTAATATAATTCTTTAAATTATGTGGCAGCTAAATTACTAAGCCATATCCCCCACCAAAAAAATTCTTTTTTAAGAACTAACACCCCAAAATCATGTTGATTTCATACCTTCGTGACTCCTAGACATGCACGATGGGCTGTGTGCCTGGAGGTATACGTGCCTCTGTTGGAGAAGCACATCTGGGAGATGAGCAACCTGGCTTGGGGAGGGAAGCCTACAATGAGCATGTTTCTTCACCACCACATGCCATCGTAAAGGAGAGAGGCCTATGTCTAAAGAAAGGACAGAGGCAATTGTCACCAGTGTCACAGTGACCTCCCTGGGATCCAAAGAATAATGGAAAGAAGACAGAGATTGGTCTGACTTACAACTTCTTGGGCGGCTCCATGGACATGCGGTACCTGTCATCATGGTGGCTATTGACAAAAGAACACTACAGCCCAACTCGCAGAAGAGACTCTTCATAAAAAAAAAAAAAAAAAAAAAAAAAAAAATGTATACCATAAGCTCATCTCCATAACCTTCCATCTTCCATCACCTTAGTGACCCACATCCCATAATAAGCAATCAGTCCTTTATAAGAAAGGAGAAGAGTAAGATCCAGTGTTAATCGGTAGAGTTGTGTTGGACTTGCCTTTGATAAGCCTATGTATGCAGCACTCCCAACTAGCATTTGCAAACCTGCATCAGCGTGCTCTGAAAGCGCTGGCAATCAGGAGATTGCTCAGAGTCAAAGTGTTCTCCTTAAATCCTACTTCAAATGCCAGGTGGAATGCTGAGATTATAGCAATCAACAGATACCCCAACATCCCCAAAGCCTTTATCCCATAGGACACAGATGGTGAAGAGAGGAAGTGAGGAAGGAGGTAGAAAGTCAAATGGTAAGTCTTTGTTTCTTGGAGAAATTTTGCTGTTAATATTTAAGACTCCTTTCTTAAGGCATGCTCTCAAAAAGGGGGAAAAATGCAATAGAGAAAGCCATCACTCCATTACCCTATGAACCCATTCCAGTTCCTTTAAGCAGCCTTATATTTGGACATTTAACAGGTGCTCCTAGGGCTGATCTGAAGAGAGACCAATATTTCCCTGGATCCTTCCCCAAATGGATTATTTGACAGCAACACCAGCACTCTCAATGGGGGCGTATCCACCCTAAATACATCAATAAACAGATGCATGTATTTCTGAAATGACATTGAGAAACAAATCTGGGGTGACTGTCTGTTCTTCGTGCAGGAGGGAAACATGATGTGGGGAAGAGAGGAAGTATAAAAGAAGCTGATGGACTGAAAGTGCTTAAAACCCTGTGACATGCTTTTCCCTAAAAAGAATTTTTAGTAAAATGCTATGGGAGCATTGCCCCCACTCCTCAGAAGTGGTCTCAAAATCCATGGGTGGACTTAAGCACCAAGCTCTCTGGGAACATGGGTACTTCCCCAGAATTCTGAGGGGCTTAAAAGTTGTAAGGCTGCTTGCTCTCCAGTTCCGAGGACCCCAATTGTTCCCCAGACTCTAATGAGAGCTCCCCTTGGACTTCCGAAGGGAAGCACATTCACGTCAGGGGACTGAGAGAGTCTCTGGGCGGGTCTTTTATAACAAGGAAAATGGGGTCCTAGGAAGGTTTGCCTGGGGTTCTCCAGAGGGCCCCCAGAAAAGGGAGGCGGACATCAAACTCCTTATCCTCCTCGGGATGTTTGTGAAGTAAAAGGGAAATTCCAGTCATGCCTCTTTCTCTGAAAGAGTGGACTTGTCCTGCCCAGGGCAGCCCGGATTCCTGTAGAAACAGGAGCAATAACATGCCCCAGGGGCTCGGTGTCAGGAGAGAAAAACACCAAAGGAGAACCTGCCTCTCCGGGCCAGCTGGGCTCCGTTAAAAAGGCCTTGTGGGTTAGTGGTTTGTTTCCAACTCCCACATTTAAAGAGGGACTTTCTAAATGCAGCCTGAAACCGAAGAGCCCAAACCTGCAGGACAGATCTTGAAAGAAAAATTGAGGGCCCTTGGGAAGTTAAATTCAACTTGACATGTCCAGAAGACTTCATGGGACGCATATGAACACCTTAAGTTATTTTTAAAATGGTATATGAGAGCTCCTTGAAGTGGAGTGCATTGCCTTGGGTAATAGCAAGTCCTTTTGCTGGCGGTGGACCAGCTGAGGCTGCCCTTCCTCTGAGAGGAGAGGGGGCATGTGTTTGAGGAGGGGGCTGTCCAAGCAGTACAAACTCTGGGATTTGGTGTCAAGTTGGACCCAGGCTCAGGTTCCAGCTCCATCTTGGTAAGACCTGGGGAAATTTTTCTTGGACTCTCAATTTCCTCATTTGTGCAATGGATACAGTAGTGTCTACTCCATTGGATTATTATGCAGGTAAGTGAAGCATTAATTAACACCAGTACTTGGCACAGTAGAAATGCTAAATTTGCTATTATTGCTGCCACTGCTATTATCTGAGCTTGATAAATTGGATGGGAAAAGGAAGTATATAATATCCTTAGATTTCTGTAGTCCTCTGATTTTATTACCACATGGGTTCTATCCAATCAAAGTTCCTGGTGCCATCTTCCTAATTCCCTAATGACCCAGAGTTCTCTATTTCAGAACCACTCAGATCTTCCCATACACAGGCCTATATCCTCACCTTTCCTATGGCCACTCTCTTCCTGTAATCAAAAACGGTCTTTCCTACACCCCAGTTCCTTGCAACCCGGTGATAACTGGGTTATACGGTGATTGCTGGCTATTCTGGGGAAAAGATGTATATTCAAAGTATATGCTAATATGACTGCGTTACCTTCTCCTTTCCTTGGCAGAAGCAAAAGCTGAGCACAGTCCCCAGTCAACAGACAACAGTCAATGAAAACTCTAGATGATTATAAGGATGGATCTCGTACTGGTGGGATTTGAGAGATCATGCTTAGCTTTTCTAGAGAGATTCTGGTGGTAGTCATTAGGGGCAAGGTCAAATACAGAGCAGTCATGTGACAGGCTGCCTGGGAGATATTTCAGTGCAAGTAGAACCTTCCTCCATTCACTCATCAAGTTTCTGGAGAAGCTCAGGACTCAGGCTGACCCCTGTGTTTCTCCCACCCAAGAAAGGAGCAGAGCTACGTGCAGAAGCGCTGGAGGGATGTGCGTGTGGGAGACTTCATCCAGATGCGATGCAATGAGATCATCCCGGCCGACATTCTCCTCCTCTTTTCCTCGGACCCCAGTGGGATCTGCCACCTGGAAACTGCCAACTTGGACGGAGAGACAAACCTCAAGCAAAGGCGTGTGGTGAAGGGCTTCTCTCAGCAGGTAGGGATCTTCCTAACATCTTCTTTGCAGGCAAAGGCAACTCTGCTGGAAAGTTGAACGTAATCGGGTGGGTAGAGGGGAAGGTAGTGACTGCCTCCTTTTCCCTCTGAAGTGGGTATTCTCCCCTTATCACAGATGAGGAAACTGAGGCCTAGGAATGTTAAATAACTTGCTGAAGGCCTCAGAATTCCTAAATGGGACCCACCCTGTTCATCTGATGACACTATGCTCTCTGCTCTAAACCCAGGAATCTAATATTTGTTCAGTTACCCTGGGACCAACCTGCTTTGCTGTGTTTATCTAATCCCTGCTCATCCTGCCCAGATCAGCTCCAGCAACCTCTCCCTCCATGAATCTTCTCTCACACCCCTTTGACCCCAACATGAACTGCAGTGAGGCATTGCTAACTGTTTCCATTTGTGTGTATTTTACCTTCTCGGCAGTCCTGAAACCTCTCTGAGGACAGGGAGCAATCATTGACACTTTTGTTTAATCCCCACACTTACATATATGGTACTTCGGACATCATGGCGAAGTTTTATTGTTTGATGGTTAAATGCCCAGAGCTCATCTGTAAGCCCAACCTCACGGTTTATTAGCTGTCTCACCTTAGGCAAGTTACTGCTCTCACACCTTCATTCCCTCATCTGGAAAATGGGTAGAAAAGTAGTACCCTCTCCACAGGATAATTCTAAAGACTAAATGATATGTACATGAATTATTTAACATGAAGGTAAAGGCACGTAGTTAGAGGCCAGTAAATAGTTGGCAATAAATGTCAATGGTGTTCATAGGCAATAAATGTTGTGATTGATTGAAACTGAGTGTGATATTCTAATTTTCAACTAAAATTCCCCTTGAAAGAGTTGATTTCCAATCTGGTACCTTTCTCTGCCCATGGAAAAGAATAAAATTATGTCTCTTTCCCTCACTCTGCCAGTCTGTGGCTGGGGAGAAAGTGGATGAGGCAGGAGATTTAGGATAAAGAGGGCAGGGGCTTCCCTCCTCAGAGATGCCCACGCATTCAGTTATCTCTAGTGAAACTTCTCGAGAAGAGACCACCCATCATCGCTCACTCTGCCTCTCAAAGTACTGAATGAACAGTTTTCATCAAAGCCCTTTCCTATGATTAATCCCACCCTCAGAAGTCTGTTCTCTCGTCCTGGCAATGGGAATGATAACTGTCCCATAGTTTGGCCATGAGATTCCTATGAAATAAAAAAAAAAAAAGTAAAGAAGAAAATACAGGGTTTGGTTCAAAGTAGACCCACAGTAAGTGGTCTATCGCTGCTACCTTGGCTGCAGTCACTACACTTGGAATGAATCCACCATGACAATTACATACACGCACGCGTGCACATGCACACACACACACACACACGTGTGAATATGTGAGTGTGTAAAACTGCCACCTCACTCGAGCTACATGCAAAGCATTTAAGAATTTCTATTCTATTTCTTTTTGTTTAAGTCCTGGGAACAGTGAAACTTGTATTTGCTTACAAACCTCCCTGTCGGCCTCCTCACCCCAACACCCTCATCACAATTCGGAGTCCTTTTCACTCTCGGGAGTTATGCCGGTGTTGTTGAGTTTCACCAGGCAGTTTTGTTTTTCTCTCTGTCTTGGCAGCAGCTCCCAAGCTGTTTCTTGTATGTTAATTAGTCAGGAAGTGTGGGATTTGACTAGAGTGAAGAGCCAGATGAAAGGGTCATTCACACTCCAGTGCCATAGACCAGCCAATTTAATAACATCTCTCAAACTCTAACCCTGAATCCTCACAGGGTACTGGGCGTAATGACTTACAAAAAAGGTAAATTCATTTGTGAAGGGAGGAAGGTTTACTTGAGCTTGAAGTTTTTTAGCATTCCCTCTTCTGTTTTAATTATTGATTCTCTCTCCCTGACTTCGCTCAAGTGTATCTTTTTCCCTTTATGGGTAATAAGAGTAGTAATAATAATAATATGCTTTTATTAAGCCCTTACTAAGGGCTTTGCATGATTACCTCATTTATCCTGGCCATAAAACAGTGAGATGGGTGCTATTATTGTCCCCATTACATACATGAGACCGAGGCATAGAAGGTTAAGTAAGTTGCCCAAGGTCACTGAGCTGGGAAGTATCGGAACCAGATTTCAAAGCCAGGTTTGTCCATTGTCTCAGCTCTTGAGGTTTTCAGTAGCTCATCTCCCCCTTTATTACCCTGAGGTTACCCAGAGATGCTTACTTGAAAGTACCCATTTATCATTCTATATAGTATATAAAAGCCTAAGCAACCGTTACAATCAGTCGACTGAACGACTGGTCGACCAGTCGCTATGATGACACACTGACTACCAGGGGCAGACACTCAAGACAGGAGCTGCCCCTGGTGGTCAGTGCACTCCCACAGCCAACATCCCACGGTCCCTCCCCCCGGCCACTGGTCCCAATCGGCCCTGATTGCCGGCCAGGCCAAGGGACCCCACCCGTGTGCAAATTCATTCACTGGGCCTCTAGTTTTCAATAATCTTTCCACATATAAGTAGTGGGAATAAAACTAGGCTTAGCTGCCTGGGGAAGAGGAACTGGCTGCTCTTTGTTTCCTTGATTTTCCCTTATGTCTTTAATATAAAAAGATTTCTGAAATGGGTAGAATTCTCTTCTGTTTAACTCTGTATTATATAGTTTTTCTCAAATATATTGAACAAAGACATTGATGAGAGTTGCAATGAACATACATGTTGCAAAGTCAGATAAATTCAGAAGGAGAAGTTTGCAAATATTGTGCACTGAAGGACTTCTCAGATACTTCAAAAAACCCCAGGGAACTGCTGGGGCAGCTACTAGTGTGTAATCTTTTTAAACATTTAACCACAGAAACCTTTTATTCCAAGGATCATATTCCAGGACTACTGCAAAAGAGGTGAGACTACAATTTAAGGATTTTCCCCCAGTTACATTACAGGGATTTGTGTGTTTTTTAATGTACATGCGCCAGGTCTGGACATGCATATTTTTAAAATGTTTCCCCAAATTATCTTTATATGAACCTGTCACCACCTTTTTTTAATATATTTTTATTAATTTCAGAGAGGACCGGAAAGGGGGAGAGAGAGGAGAGAGAGAGAGAGAGAGAGAGAGAGAGAGAGAGAGAGAGAGAGAGAGAAGAAACATCTATCTATCTCTGTATATATAAAAGCCTAAGTGACTGTTAAAACTGGACTACGGGCTGGTAGCTATGACGTGCTCTGACCACCAGGACGCAGACACTCAACGCTGGAGCTGCCCCCTGGTGGTCAGTGCGCTCCCACAGCCAACCTCCCACAGCCAGTCAACCTCCCATGGTCCCCCCCCCCCCCCGCCCCCCTGACTGGACGAGATGGGCCCAATCGCCAGCCAGGCAGAGGGACCCCACCTGTGCATGAATTCCTGCACCTGGCCTCTAGTCAATAATAAGAAAATCATTGATTTGCTGCCTCCTGCACACCCCCTACTGGGGATTGAGCCTATAACCTGAGCATGTGTCCTGCCCATTTCGTGACCTCCTGGTTCATAGGTCAATACTCAACCACTGAACCATGCCAGCAGGGCTATCTTCTTGAGAAGCTATACAACCAAGGGAAGATGTACCTCAAGTACTTAAAAAAAAGACCCTAACAGCAATGAGAACAAAGCTGCCATCTTGAGCTTCTCACCTATACTGGTGTTTTTCCATGCATTGTCTCTTTTAGTCCTTGCAACCTCCGTGTGAGGTGGACATTACTATTCCCATTTTACAGATGAAAATGCTGAGGTACAGAAAGGGCAAATTTGATCAGTTGTCTCAGAGAAAATTTTGAACACCTACATATAGTTTTTTTTTTTGGAAATTTAATATCTTAAATAATAAGTATTAATCATTTTTGTTAGCATGTTTTCCCTCTCAATCCCTAATGTCTATGAGACCTTCACCTTGCCAAAAGGGTTTTTACTAGCCACTGAGACTTCTGGAAACCTCCCACCCTACACATGTACCCACACCCATTTTCACCATCTTATAGATGATGAGAGATTACTATATTCTGCTAATCTGAAGTCAATAAAACGAACTTTTTTTCAGCCCCCTAAGACCAGTATTTCTCAAGGTGGAATCTGCCAAACCCTTAGCTTAAGAGATAATTCTTGAGAAGCAAGATTCATGGTCAAATCTGATTGGGAAGCCTGTGTCCTATGGAGTCCTCTTGGGCATTCCAATATACATTAACATACTAAGGTCTCTGAGAAGAATTGGAGTCCAGAGGCTGGTTCAAATCCCTAACTCTGAGCTTTCCAAACTTATTTAACCGCTGAACCATTTTCAGCACAATAATTTTTAACATTCCTGTGCAAATTTGAGGGAAAATGTTAAGCTGGGCTGTGGAACACCCATGATCACAACAGGTGAGAAGTGAAATTCAAATGAAATTCTAAAATATGAAAGAGCTTTTCAAAAGAGTCTTCCTTCTATGACATAGCAAGTCATTCTCAAGGTCGCCAAAGAGTTGGTTTCAAAATCCTCTTTTCAGAATGTAACTCAACCTAGCCAAATTTTTTCTCAGTTGGAACTTTTATTGTGGTGAACCATCTTTGAATTCACAAAATTATTGACTTTTCATGAAATATTTATTCCCAAATCCCATTGCTGGGAAAAAGGCCAAAAGGGAGGGAATCTAAAATTAGGATTATGTTAAGAGAACATCATTAGAGAATTAAATGTACAGTTTTCTCTTTGGTGACATTCTGATACCTAATTCTTCTTAAAAGGATTTCCAAGATGGACACTAGGCATTTAACATCTGGAAATGAGTGTGTGCCATTCATTTTGGGAAATTGGGCAGTTATCAAACCAAAGAATCAGAAATGAATTCTTCCAATTAGTATTTCACATCAAACACATTCCTGAGTAAATTGAAGGTGTAATTGGCTTTATTAAGGGATTCACAAATCAGGCAGAATCCCATCTAGTAACTAAAATGGCACTCTGAGGAGGTGTAAAATGTGG